AAAACACTTATAAGTATCCCCCACTCCAATCCATTTTTCTTCACCACATTGTGCTAACAATATCTTCTTCCTCAATTCTACCTTCTTTCAGCGTTCGGTTTTGAGTATTTGTGCATCAGTTTGCAAGAAAACCAGCCCGATTATATATAATTTCGGTTGCAAACTTCTTATTCTATAAATTCACAGTAATTTCGTTTACGGTTCTATAAATTTACTTTCATTTATATCATTTTTTGACCCTTTTTTATTTTAAAATTATTCTTGAAATTAAAAAATGTCGAGCTCTCGTGGTGGTCGTGGCTCAGGTTCCAGACCAAAACATAGAAACAGCGGCGCATCTTCTCCGTTTCCTCCATTGTCGACAATGGTGAGGCTAACGATACATTTGGATGTTTCAGGTGTAGGCAATGATATTGATGTCGCAACAATTGAACGCATATTTGAGTCCATTGATGAGATAAAAGAGGCCCGTACACGAGAGTAATGGCAACCGTATGTGGACGATTTGGATGAAATGTTAGGAGGTCGAGGGACTCCGGACACTCAGCAGCAGGTTCTGGCGGAGCCGGCCTCTGGCCGCGGGTGTCAATCGAAATTGGAAGCATGATACATAATGGAGACCATGGGCATGGGCGTGACATCATTGGCGTAATTTATGCTACCGTTTTGATTTGATGTTGAACTTCTGAAAGTGTGTTAGCGAAAATCGGTGGCAAGGATTCGGAGAGCAGAATGATTGTTCTCGGCATGTTGCACACGAAAAAGAAACGACAGTGGTGAAGCCGTGTCCGGCGAATCGAACCACTTTGGGACAATTCTCCCAAATATAAGGCACATGTTTTTCAAGTTCATGATTCATTTTCAAAATGGTGAACAGTTGTTATATCCGTATTATCTGCTAATTTTTCGTTTTCAATTATGAATAACTCCAGCAGTTGTGGGTGATATGTAAATGAGTAGTATAGTGTTGTGAGTATTTTTACCGTAGTAGAATCGAAAGATTCGTCCCCGGGTCGTATCGCAAGGAAGGTTAGCCGGATACTCTTGTGCGTATATTCAATCACGAAAAAGAGAAAAAGAATTCCTAAACACTCTAATTCAATATTTTTGGGTTTTGATTATCAACTACTGATTTAAACTGAATAAAATGAAAGCAAATAGCAAATGACTTTACTGAATGATTAAAGTGCTAGGGAATCGGGGATAATTGCTTTCGGTTCTAACACAATCACCGGCAATCAATTGTTCGGTTAAAGGTCTTAAATCGTTTCTCGTTCAGAGGTTCACTCTCAATAACTCTTCGTAACAAGAGAGTGAATGTAAACGATCAACTATCAATTCCAACAACACATAGATTATATGCTTCCGAACAAATCTATTCTAAACGAGCCTAATTCTACCAACGTCTCCCCTCTCGGTTCTACACGTTGATTATCTAGGTTAAAAAGGTGATCAATCTACTAACCCTATGATTCACACAACTCGAATAGACATGAACAATCAAAAGCATTAAATTATAACGAACCTAATCAATCATCCCCTATCCCTAGCAAATGGATTTAGCTACTCATATGGAATTCAACATCAACATTCAAATTAACCCAAGCCATCATCATCAACCAAAGCAATTGAGAAAAAGAACTTACGATTAATATAAAGAATCCAACGTCAAATCCAAGTGCATCCAAATCCCAAGCAAGAAATAGGAGTTTGTCAATCTCCAAAACAAATCAAAAGTGCAAAAAAAGAAAAGGAATAGGTTTTTCTCCAGAAAGGACGTAAAAACAAAGTCTGAAAAGTGAATAATGAACCCTAGGATCGAAATCAGCATTAAAAATCCCGTCCTCGAAATTCGCGCCGATTAAGTCGCGACTCGCGACTTATGTCGCGAGTCGCGAGATGGTCTTCTCCTGGGTCACGAGTCGCGACTTCCTCGTGAGTCGCGCGTCGTCTTTTTCTTTAAATTCTGGGGCTGGTCGCGACCTATGTCGCGAGTCGCGACCTCATCTCGCGAGTCGCGACCTAGACTCGCGAGTCGCGACTCCGACTCGTGAACTGCACTTTAGCCCCAGTTTTTCTCGCGGGTCGAGACATGTTCGCGAGTCGCGAGAATTTTTGGGCGCGTTTTCTGTCCGTTTTTCAGTCCTCTTCGTCGTCTTCTGGGCTCGGCCACAGGAATTCTCAATATCACAGTCTCGGCACACGCAATCCTAACCTCGACCGGCACAACCTACCTCCTGAAAACACAAACACGGAAAAACACGAAGCAAAACACGGCAAAAAGATACAAAAATATAAACTAAAGATAAAAACATGAAACGAACGAATTGGACCAAGTAAACTACGAAAAACCTACAAATGTGGGAAAACAAAAAGAAAATAAACATGAAATAAAGACACAAAAATGGGACAAACATATAGTTCAAAAGATATATGACCATGTTACATTCATACTTTCTGAACTGCATTTACTTAATTATTATAGTTGTTAGACATGATAATAGTCATTTAGACACTTTGATACCCCACATGTGTACCATTATCTGAATTGTGCTAATTATATGATTTATTCAGTATTAAGCTAGCAACTAAATAAGTACTGCCTTGAGTAATTTTTTTTTCATATTATTATAAAATAATAATAATAAAAATGAAATACATACCTTTATTTTTTTTGTATTCTTAAAATTTGTGTACAAACTCCTAGAGTATTTTACTAGCCACTAATATTATAAAATACTTGATACTTTTCATATGTACTTCCTAGGATATCTGACATTGATTAATAAATAACTAGTACAACACCAGTGTACTACACGGGTGATTGATAAAAAAATTATGTGTATAACCAAAAAATGAAAAAGAAAATGTTTATGTATTTTCTTGAAGTTGGAAAAAATAAATAAATAATAATATATAACAATTTATAATAAAAAAATAAATGAATTAATAATATTATTTTAAATTCTGAAAACTAATTTATATACATTATTAATTTTATTTATAATATTTTTATTTTAACATATAAGAGAATAATATGGACAAAGCACAAAATATGAAAAGTAAGATTATATGCACATTATATAAATAAGATAATAAATAAATGTATATGGAATAGTTTAAACATATTAAATATGTGTATATATATGGCAATCCTAACCTAAGCTATATAGTATAAAAACTAATAGTTTTTATCCAAACCATATAATTAGAAAGTATAATATTTTATCACATAAGATTACGAAGCGTGCAGAGCTGTCACATAGGCTCAACGTGTACTGAAATTATATATGAAGGGGATAAAGGGGATGTGTAGAACATTACAAATTAATACCTTAGACAAAAACAAGTAATATCATTAATTTGAATGAATAAAACTACAATCCTCTATATAAATACATATATACATATATAAATATGTAAAGTGTATTACTTTGTAAGAATAACTAGTATATTATGTATATTTGTGAATAAGTGTGGATGACTCCATATGTCGTACCATCCGATGGCTCCATAGCAAAACTGTAAAATATATGAAATCTTGACATGTGGCTAGTGACACATCTTAATATGCTTATAATGGATAGGTAAATATTTTCACATCAGTATAATATTTATCACTATGAAAAATGCAGTACTGATTATGCTCTTTGTCTGAGGGTGTTGATTAAAAAAAAAATTCTAGAAAAAACTAATATTGAAAATAAATGTTTTATTTTAAAATTTCAAATATTTTTAGAAAATACATTATTTTAATATTTAGATGACACAAGTCGCCCAATCACTCGATTCGATTATATTATAATATTTCTAATTTATACCACATTAAATGATTGATAGATAAATTTATCATCTTCAATTAGGCCAGATATATAATTTATTTTTCTATTATAAAGATATATATAATTATTTTTTATTTTACAGATATTCGAAGATTATCAAAAAATAATTAGTTTGATATATCAAAATAAAAAATATTGGTCACAAATATAAAAATTATTAATTTTAAAACAGATTTATAATTAAATTGTAAAAAAAATTATAATTTAAGAAGCCCGCAGGGATAAAAGTCAAAGTCTGCATGGATAAAAGTCGAAGTTCTAACCCAACACATAAAAAAATTGACATGATTATGAAGCCCAACAATATGCCTCCTCCAAAAGAGTTAATTACTTCACGAACGACACCTCAGCTTTTATTTTGCACCTTTATGATTAGATAAAAAGCTTTAGCAAAATTATCATATCATGTCCTTTTAATTGTAAACATACGAGAGTTTTTTAGTCTAGGAAATAGAAATATATTATCCCCAACTGAATAGCTACTTATTGAAAGCAGTTATCAAAATTAAGAGAACCACCTTTATACTACACGGATAATCTCACCCTCTCTCCACGACCCCTCCCTCAACTCAACTTCCTCATAAGTAGTAAATCCTAGGTACATATATTTTATGGCTAAACCCAAAATCCCGCCAATTCTCAGTGAGAATCCCAATCGTGGTGCCGCTGTGAATGCACATAGGAGATCCAGTTCTCGCATCAGAGAAATATTAACGAGAGATAAAGGGAAACTCATCCAAACGAAACTCGTTTTCGAGAGGAACATGAAGCCAAGTGAATCTCATAAGGCACTCGGCAAATCTCGACATGTTACACAGAGCTCCAACCCCAATTCCGACGGCTTTCAGTCAGACCATGGCGAATTTTAACCGAAACAATCCCGGAGACCTTCAAAAAGAAAGATCCCTAATTCGGCTGAAGGAGAAGAAGCGCAAGATCTAGATTATCGCGGTGAAGATGAAACCGCAGTAGATGATTCGTAAGGAAAGTTTTGACAGTATGTGTTGTGTATATAGACAATATATGGGCAGTATATTCGCAAGATCCAGATTATCGACAATATATGTTGTGTATATAATCAGTATATTTTTAGTATATGTGTTTGTAGACAGAATCACATATATGTTTAGTTTATAAAACATGTTAATGCAAAATCTGGGTTTCCCATGTTCAGCACAATTGTCTATTGTGGTTATAGTTAGTATATTTTTAATATATATTGCGTTTTTTTGTACAAGATGGACACCATAATATTTTTCCGTATATGTTGTGGTTATAGTTACTATATTTTTAGCATATATTGCTTTTTTTTGTACATAACATGTAATAATTTGGTGTATACTTGGTTTATAATCTATAACAATTTATATAACATATAAGTATATATATAAAGTTTCCTGTTTTTTATTTTCTTATCGAATATGCAACCACAATATGAATAATTTTATTAATTTTTAATTAGTATTAATAAATAATTTATAATAAATAATAANAAACTGTTTTTTCGCATTCAACTAATTATTTCATCTGATTCGTGCAAATGCTAATCTTTTTTACTTGATCGTATATATGCAATATTGTCAAATTCACATAGCAAGCGTGTAAATTGGCCGAATAGAAGCTGACCCTTAGGTGTGGTAAACTCTACATTATGTATAAAGATGGATGAGTAGACTAACAACAGTGAATCACTCGTGCATATTTTGAAACTTCATGATCTTTTCTAGCAGTGGAAAACGAAAGAGCAAAATCTTTCTTCCAGGAAAAAACTAGCCGTCAGTGTCAAAGAGAATATTTGTTGTTTTTGCATTTTCTGTCGTGTGTTTGTCAGGGTAAGGGTTTCTCTCTTTGTGCACTATCAATGGCGTTTGGGAACTCAAATATTTGGACTTTATTCCCTGCAGAAAGGTTTTGTGATATTTCACATCAAAAACCTAAAGGCAGATAAGGCATCCAATTGGGACAGTCATGTGAATTGTGGAAAAAAGAAGTTGTTGAAACAAAGATATCGTGTTCGGTCTGAAATCAACAATCAATGGATGGAAGAAAACCAACATAAACATCTACGAATTATCCGCGTATTCTTATATTATCTTTATTCTCCCATAAAAAATAGTGACACTATTTGTTGCAGAGTGCTAGAAGTGGCCACTTGTTCCTGAACTGGAACCATCTATGAAAGTTGTTTAATAAAACATTGGCAAACTCAAAGTTGTTTCAACTTTCATAAAACATTGAACTAATTGACAAACTCTATGCACTCAAACTTGCCTACACTACTAAAAAGTATATATATCAACCATTTTGGATTTCAATTGTAACAAGGCTCAAGCTTTGGTATTGATGTTCTGAATCTTAATTTGTTAATGCAGTAATAGGGACATATATACTTGGCAAAGGGTATTCTTCAACAACAAACATGCCTCCATATTCTGACTTCTGGGTTGTATAAAAAAGAAAAAAAAAATCCGAAATAGAGAAAGTATTAGCAGAAGCATTTTCTTATCTTCTTTCATTTGGAAACCCAAATTCAATTTTCGTGTTTTGAGGCAGCTGCATTTCTAGATCCAAGTGCAAACAAGAGTGTCTTCAACATGACCACATAACGGAAAAGATGAGTAGCTTCAGTATTATGTTAGTTATGAAAATGGTCGCATTATACTCAGTTGATTAAAGTGGAAAGGTAGTTACAAAACAAAGACAACACAACACCTGAGGGATGTCATTGCTAAAAGAGAAAGATGTATTACCCTGAAAATTTTGTATATCATTAGTTTCTTCGTCTATTCTTGCGGCGGGGAAAGATTAAGAAAGCCACGAGAACAATAACGAGTGCCATCTTGAGGAAGACCAAAAGCTTCAAACCTGGAAGCAACTCAATAGTTATTCTTACAAAGATCAATAACCATTTTTCTTGCCATAATTTCTAATGAAGACACGAGATAATACAAAGGCCTCTTTTACTTTATGGGATGGGAAAGGATGAGATTGGACAACTTTAAAAGCCCATTAACTTTACATGTCTAGCTTGTGTCCAATGTTTACAAAACATGATGCATTTTAAGGCAAAAACAATCACACATTTACTAACCTGGATAAAATGACAGGATAAAAAGCAAAATATGAGGTAAAAGTGTGGGACCCACATGACAGTTTTATATGGCCTAAATTTGTAATTTGGTGGACTTCTAAGGGTAAAAGAGACACTTCACATGCCAATTTTTGGACAAAATGGTCATTTGTATGATGGGATTAAATTGTCCCACCCTAAAGGCCGGACAAAATAATTCTGCCAATCGTGCAAAAAAGTGTGGGACCCACAGGACACATCAGCTTATTATCCAATCCCATCATAGTTAGTAAATGTTAGATAACAGGAGTTATTCAACCATATCCTATCCTATCAGCTTAAGTAAAAGAGGCAAAAAAGAACTACCACTTAGTTTATATGTTGCATCCACCGTCTCTACCCCATGCTTATTTTTCCTTGAAGTAAGAGAATCCAGTTTCCTTGGTACTGAGTCGTAACTTTTTCTCTTATATATAATATTCCCTCCACTGATACAAGTGTTTGGACATATTACGGTTCCGTCATATTCATCACTCCCATCACAGCAATCTGAATAAAAAGGGGTTACCAGAAAAATCAGATGTCTCTTATATAATTTGCTAGAGAAGTAAATTTGATATAACATCACTGTCTTTAAATTAGCATGAATCGAAAAACCTATGCTTCAGAACAAGGGGAATTAAAAATGACAACCTTTTAAGTATTCAGCAGTTTTACAAATAGGCAAATTATGGATTCACTGGAGGTAATTAAAACATTCAGTCACAAAACAGTATCTTTATAAAAAATTGCAGGATCATCAGTAATGCACCCAGATCTATTCTGATCTGGAAGCATTAAAAAAAAATCACAGGTCAAGTCGATATTTATAGTAAGACCATCCAGTGTAATGATGAACTGGAACAATAATAAATGATTTGCTTATCATTCTTGTTGATAAAAGGTGTAGTCGACTTACAAAATCGTTTTCAGGCAAGGGTCAGAAATAGCATATCCATGTTTTCATTAACAATTCAGACATACTCAAGTCATCAGAAACTACACTAAGATTCTGCCAAATGAATTTTGTAATTTAATACTCATACTCACCACAAATTTTATCATTCACGCGAGAAGAAAACAGGTATCTTGGTGTACTTCCCACATTTTTGCAGTAGAATCTGCCCGTGGGACACGCGGAAGTTCCTATCACAACCAAAATTATTAAATTAAGAATTGCATCTTTGACCAAAAACAAGCAAGACAAAGTGAAAGTGTACCTAAAAAGAAATCAAATGTAAACATCGTTTAATCTCAAATTGGTTTTCAAATGAAACATAGTATGTACTAGTTTCAAATGAAACATAGTATGTACTAGAGTAACCGGAGATAAAAGAAAGGAAATGCATGTGCTAAACTGCTAGTGAGAATTACAGTCATCATCTCGAGTTTCATAAAGCATCACCTGCCTCTTAGCTTTTAAAGGATTCTGCAAATGTAATATAGTATTATATAGTCGACTAGCATTTCCATTGTGCCATTCTTTGTCATTTTGGAGTTTTAGAACTTAGGTTTTTAGCTGGCAAGAATGAAGGACATCATTTTCATTTATTTATTTCTTCATTAGGGTTGTGTGGCTCAGCAAAATTAGCAGCATTATTACAGATGTTACAACATAACAGATATAAACCAGAGCCTACAACCGAAATGCAGGAAGCCCATCTAAACTAGATAGATGCCATGCTTTCTTGGGAAAATAAGAATTATACATTTCACGAACTACTATATCATTTAAGGGGTTGCACACGGGTTCCATTAATGCAGATTGGAGAAAATAAGAGGTAACTCCAATTTAACGATTTGGCTGATTCGTTTTCCCCCAGAAGTATAGAATCATAGAGAACTTTCCTTTTCATGACCAATTGGAAGGTTCATGAAGAAACAATGTATACGGTAAACAAAAGTTACTAGATACACACTGCAAAGAAGTTCTACATTACTAAATTTTGCTCCCAACTAAACAAACAGTTCATAAGTGAGCATATCTAATGTTCACAGTTCGCATACAACAAAAGTTCAAACATCCCACGCCATGGAGCAATACCATGGTAATTCAAGATAAACTGCCTAATCAATTAGATTCATCAAATTACATAAATCCACCAATTTCAAGTATCATACATTCAAAGATCATATAGACTAAATTCAAGCATCACATACAATAGAGCAACCCCATGGTAATCCAAGCTACAATGCCAATTCAATTAGATTCATCAAAGTACATACATCACCAAATTCAACTACCACACATTGAAGCTCAGCTAGAGCACAAAACCCAGCACTCAAGGAGAACTAATAATCGTGTGCAAAGAAAACAGATAAAGCAAATTCCCCATCAATTTTTTCTTTTCAAATTCTCAATCAATGTCAAGGTAGAGCGATTGGCAAATGGAGTGGAAAATGATTACCTGGCTCATCAGTGCCATCCCCGCAGTCACAGAAATCGTCGTTGAGGCGGTCTCTGGAGAACCATTTCGAACCATCTCTGCACTCAATGACCTCCGCTTCATAGTACTTCTCATCTGCAATCGCCACACACGCGTGCCCCAATTCAATTTTTCGTTTTGTGTGTATGTGTGAGGGGAGAAAGACTGGGAGAGAAAGAGAGAGAGAGAGAGAGAGAGAGAGAGAGAGAGAGAGAGAGAGAGAGGGAGAGAGAGAGAGAGAGAGAGAGATTGACCTAGAGGGTGGACACCGATGAGCAGGCGGGAAGGAGAGGAGTACGAGAGGTGGAAATGGAGAGAAATGTATAGAAAAGCGAAGAAATTGAGCGCCATTTACTCTCCGCCGACTATGCTCAGCTGGTGGTATCCATGGCGGACGATTGAAATTACGAAATCGGCTCTTTGAATTCAAAATCCACAGAGCCGACAGTACAAACTTTCTACTGTTGCGAGGCAATCATCAACTGCAGCGGCCATTGACGGACTTTAAGCGTAGAACTCGGAAGCCTGAACTGTGAACAGTTGAAAATTAGAACATATTTTTCTAAGTCCCCAATAATATATTAATATCATTGTTCGAGGGCCATTATGTAATACATATATTAAAGTTACTTTCTGAATGTGGATTTTCTGTTCAATTAATTTCTAGAGGAATTTGCACCCTCTACAATTCAAAACTATTTATATAACATTTTTACAGCTTAATTAGATTTATTTATAAAATTGCTATTTGAAGGCAAAAATATTACAGATATACTAGCATTGTCAGTTAAGGAAATTTCGGGCTCTTAATTGTGATTAGATCATTAACTTAGATTAAGATATATCCCTACCATATTTACACAATCTCCATATTTTCCACCATTATCTAACTGCAACAAAAAACCGCACAGCCCACGTCTCCATCTTATCCCCAAGCCCAACTTCGATCCCTCTGTCATCGGCGACCACGATCCTCGATCATGCGGCACTGAACAATCAGGTTGTTGACTTGCAGGCCGTGTTCAATAGATACATGGTGGACGCCATTTGTTTGCTGGCCACCGGGTTCGACTGGCCTCCCTTCGGGTTGGGTTCCCCGAACGCCATGGACAATTTTTCCGAGGCCCTTTTTTGCAGGCATATTCTTCCAAAAGGGTTTCGAAGATCCAACGGTGGCTTAAGGTTGGGAAAGAGAAGAAATTTGCGAAAGCGTGCGGGGTTTTGCATCGGATACTGGAAAGCATTTTATTTGTTTGGTATATGTACAGTATATGTTCAGTATATGTGCAGTATATGTACATCTTAGGGATATTTACAATTATTGTACATCTTAGTTTATATTTGGTATATTAGGCTATGTACATCTTAGTTTAATGTTATTTGCTTTGTTTTTATTTGTAGTCTATTGATTGTTCGTCTTGCACAACATATACTGAAAATATATTGAATATAAACGCAATATATACGGACCGAGAAGGGTGATGATGGTAACGGAGTATATTTTCATTGTACATATTAGTTTATGATCGGTATATTTACAGTATATATACAGTATATGACCCGATATCCTGCTGAAAAAAAAAACGATATATNGGGTGGAGGATTTATTTGTATGGTTATTTTATTCTTTTGGTAACTGTACGCGACAATTAAGGGTGGAGGATTTATTTGTATGGTTATTTATTACTTTAGGTATATCTCTAATAAAATCCTAGATTTTAGGTATAGATACAATTAAATTTGTTCCACTTATAAAAATGTAATATTTTACAATTCTTATAGGAAGCGTGAAAATTTCCCTAATTTCTATGACCAATATTTCGTGTTTTCATGTTTGGGCTATTTTAATATTAGTACGTACTAATATGTGTGGCTAAGTCAAGCCCAAAACGCATGCTTTTTCATGATACCAGATAAATTAAAATAGAGAGTTTTTTTACTTCATCTTTTAGTTTTGCGAGCTTTGAATATTATTTTAATTATTATTACTAAAATACAATTAGAGGTACGAGACTTTATTTAAGGTTCAAATTTCGTAAGTTTTTCTTGTTTTTATTTATTAGATTTTTCTAAGGTAAAAGTATGAGCTTTCAGGAGTAGAATATACATTTATTCTTGTAAACTAGGGATTATATGATTTTTTGTTGATGCATGAGCGAGAATTGATTGAGAGTTCGATTAATTGATTCACGAGTAACAATTGCTTGATTACATGTTTCTGAACCTATAAAGGTAGAACTTTTGGTTTGGCAAAAGGGGAAACCATGGAATGAAGAAGGGGTCAGACAATTATCAGCTTTCTCCAAGGGCTTGAGGGAATAAAAAGAATGAAAGGTGAAGTAAGAAAGCAGTCGGCCGATTAGTGAGGATTTCATGGATCCATGTCTCAATCTCAGTGTGGCTGATCGTCCGAAAAGACCAGCTAAGCCAAAGTCTTGGGCATTCCATGATTAAGAAAGTTGCAAATGTTTTTCCTGGTAAACCAAGAAAGCTCGCTCGGTCACAAGTGACCTCCTTCCTTCCATCGAAGGAGGGAACCGCTACTATTTGATTCAAGTAGCTCGACTTCTTTATCCATTCAAGTTATAGGCTGCTCGCTTCTACTTTCGTGCTTTCAGCAAGTTCGTTAAAGGCATAGAGAAAGACGAGACAAAGACGTTCCTCTTCTTATTGTTCCTTTTTCCATAACCACCCCTCCTCCGCCGATTCCCTTTGTTCCTTCCATTCCAATCTTTCGTATGCGGATCTAATTTGAATCTGCACTCTGTCAGCCTACTAGTTGAAAGCAGGGGGCTTACAACATCTCTTCAACTGGGAATTATTGAAGGAAGGAGCAGTACGTGCCTTTGTAATACTGATAAAATGAGTTCTCTTTCCTGTACTAGCAAGAAAGGAATGCCCCTTGTCTTCTTTCCATCTCGGGTCTTAGAGTACATTGTTTTATTTTTTTTTCTCTCTATTCTCCTTCTTATTGCAATTTGAGGTCTTGTATGCAATAAAGTTCGAATCTTGCTAGTTAAAGTTTGCTTCTTGCTTTAATTTTAGTTTAAATTTGCGTTCTGGAGCTTTGTTCATCCACCAAATTGCGAGTAGAGTGCTTAGGAATTTTATTTTTCTTTATTGTGTGAGTTAATCGTCGCTTGCATTCGTGTCCGAACAACCTTCCTTGAGAGAAACGGTCCGAAGTTGGACTTTATTCTGTACTCGGCTAAAAACTACAAACAGACACGCGAGTGGTTCGTCGATGCTCGTTGCACACCTCGCACAACTTGCGACTCGGACGAATTTCCCCGCACACCACGCGAGTTTTCGTGGCACACTAGCCTGTAGTCCGTACGCACTCGCGTGCTCCATGAAATTTCTAGAATTTCTTGCTAAGTGTTGCATATTTAATTATGTGTGCTTTTAGTTCGTGTACTAGTTGAATAATATAAACAACTTTTCTTTATATTTTTGGACAATCACCTCATTTGCTAAGTTTCTCTTTTTAGTTTTTCTCTCTCTTTATAATTTTCGCTCTTCGGAGACTTACGGGCTCCAAGACCTGGTTTTTATTGTTCTAATTCTCTGTTAAGATTGCAACTTTTATTGCTACTTGTGTATGCGACTCGAGACTTGGAGCTTAGTCTAAGGTTCAATATCTCGTAAGTTACTTGACTTTGCTTAGTTATATATCTGGGATATTTTCTTAAGTAACGTTGGGAACTTTCATGAGTATAGTAGATTATTATTCTTGAAGTGTAGGAATTGTGTGATTTTGTAGCCGATTGTGTCGCGAGAATCAATTGATATTTGAGATTGATTGATCGAGGGGTGACGATTAGTTGCATATTTTTCGAATCTTTGAGTGCCTTCTTTCCATCTCACGGTACTGGGATGTTTAGTCCTTTTATTTTATTTTCCTTTTTATCAGAATTTGAAGATTTACTTGTGCACTGATTTTGTTCTTGCTTTCATTTAAATTTTCAATTGCATTCACATTAGCTTAAAACAAACAGCCAACGTTCAATTAAAGTGTTTAGGACTTTATTTTATGTTTTTGTGAATTAATCATTGCCCGAATCTAATTCCGAACAGACTTCCTTTGAGAGACGATCCGAGGTTGGTCTTCCCGATCGTGCTCGGTAAAAACACTACAAACAATAACCATCAAAACATCATAAATTTTGACGAAATATATGGCATACCTCAATGAGTAAACTAGGAAAGTAGCTAAAGGAGATTTTGTACTATCATTCAATTTTAAAGACATCTATTAAAATATATTAAAATGATTAATCAAAATTGTAAATGTTTCTAGTAATTTAGAGTAGGTGACAATGTTGTCAAGTATTCGTCCAAGCTCCAAACACTTGAGTTATTAGGTATATTTTGTTATTTTTTTTCAATTAGTTGGTGTATATATATTTTTTGTATTTCTTAGTATATTTTCTTCGATTTTTATCAAGTAGGGGGTATAATTGAAACCAATGATTAAAATAGCGCGGTATGGCGCGAGGCGAGGCGAGGCGGGGCTTCGACGCCTCATACCCTTGAGGCGAGGCGGCCTTGTGGCGTCGCCTCGGATGTGACGTAGCGTAGCGTAGTGTGAGGCGGCGCCTTATGAAAGTGAGGCGAGACATCGCAGTTTAGGTATTTTATAACTTAGGGTTTCATTTACGGGAGATTAAAACTTATCAAATAATAAAAATTACTTACCAAACTACAAAATTACCATGTGCCTTTTGTTCCACCGGTGACGTCGACCAGATTCCGGCAGCTAACCGGCAACGGCGACGGCGAGCGGTATATGTTCCAATTTTTTCCTTTTCTTCTTCTTTTTCTTTTTTCCTTTCTTGCTTCAGTCATACTTCACCAGCACGACAATAGTGCCTGTTGTGTAAGTCGCCGGCTCCGGCTAAAATTCCATCGCCGGCGGCCGGTGGTGCTTACAGCAGCCGGCTGGGATGAAAAGCGAACGGGGAGGGGTGGGGTCTGGGGCTGGGCTTAACATTTTTTTTTTCTATTTTTATTATTTATTTTGTTTATTTATGAATGTGGAGCATTAACTTGTTTTTTAACGAACAATAGACATTATATTATTATTGTAATTGGGAATTTGGCATAATGTGGGATTGTGGGGTGGGTTGATGTTTATTTTAATTCGGATCATGTGGGTTGAGGTTATTTCTATTTCTAGTTTGTTTAATGTTGTTTTTATTTTAATGTGGGTGTTTTGTTGTATGTTTATTAGCTATTATAATTTTTTTTTTTATATATAATTGTGTCATAATTTGGTAAAATGTCACATGTACCTATATTTCTACTTTTTTTTACAATGGCTCGCCTCGCTTTCATAAGGCGGGCGCCTCGCCGCACGCCTCACGTCATGGCAAATTTGAGCCTTGTCGCCTCGACTCGCCGCGCGCTATTTTAATCACTGATTGAAACTGCAAAAGTTAATAATGAACATAAATTTATCATTTATCCAAAGTTAATGGGCATATTTTACTATTTTCCAAATAATTAAATTTGGATTTAGATGTATCTTCCCTAGAAAAAGGGGGAGATAGAGGAACCAAAATATAACTTTATTTACATCAAGATCCGCAAATAAAACACAGTACACATCATGCACTCTGTTTAACAACAAAGTAANNNGGAGAAACAATTAGCTACACATTCCAAGTTCTACATGATAGAGCATGCATTTGGATTCTCATCATTGAACATGAGGGTATATTGCTCCTCGACCGGGTTAAGTGCAACGATTTCCGGGTCATTCGTGGCCCGCACTAAATTGGGTGGGGCCTTCTTGTCATAAACGCCTGCCACGTAAGGGTGAGCCACCATCGTGTAAGGGACATAAGGCCACGGCTCGACTTTTTTCCCGGTCGACTTGGCGGCCGCCAGCACTTTCTTGGCCTCCACGTAGCCGTACACCGTGGCCTTTTGCTGTTTCAAGTCCACGTCTACTGATTTCGCGCCTAAAATCATATACATGTCATTTTAATTTTAATTTCATATAGAGGGATTGTAGTTTTTTAAGTGGAATGTTATTTCGGCATATGTAGAGAAATTAAGAAACTAGTATTTATTACAGTTTTGTTATGGAGTAATCGGATGGCTCGGTTTATGGAGTCATTCATAGTTAATAACAAATGGTGTATTGACACGTGTCATACAATAAATACATTTTGGACAGATTTTAATATTAAGTGATGGATGACTCCATAAAAAAACTATCCGATTGCTCCACATAATTTTTGTTAGAATTTGTGTATAGGACTAACATAACATTGAATATATAAAGTAGTTTTGATATTTTCCCACTGATTGATTTTCGCACCTTAGGAAATTCAACAAAAATATTATTGTCATGTCATACTTTCTTGAAAACAAAATATATTATTTTTTTATTATGAAATGTAATGGTATTTTTTTTTAATTTTTTTTTTCTATAGTATGTCACTTGAAGATAAAAAATGTATATTTATTCAAAGAATATGTTTGTCTAATTTTTACCCAAAAATTATACTAGTGGTTGAAGGCCAATAAACACTATTTTTTTCCTTTTGTAAGATATTAATTAAGGAAAAGCTTTGGAAAACTGCTTTTCGATTTTTAGAATGAAAAATAGGAAAGTGTTAATGTAACTTTTTAGTTAAGTAAATAAATAAGAAGAGCAATATCCATTTTAATTTTTGGTCTGAAATTGAGAGCTGAATCCTTTCCCTTTTCTTCGTGAAAAAAAAAAACTAAAAATATTTGCAAAACAGCCCCTTAGTTTTCGTGGATAATTACCTTTGACCCCAGAAAGTGCTTTCTTGACTTTGAGGGCACAGCCTTCACAATCCATCCTGATCTTGACAGCCACTGTGTTTAACTGCTTCTTCTTCTTCTTGCTGCTGCTTAGCTTTTCAGACAAGTACTCTAATGTCCCTCCAACTCCCATTTTCTATATATATGTTATTATTAATTAAATGAACTTGAAAGGCTTTTGATTTTAGGATTTAAAGATTAAAACTAGCTATATATATATGGACATGAAAAATGAAGGTTTGAACTTTGAAGTTCTGAAATGATATATAATGGTGGGTATATATAAGATCTAGTAAATTTCATTGCACACACATATATAGAGATGGACATATGTTATGTGTGGGTGTGTGAGAGTGCGCGCATTTTATGGCTAGGATTATTTATTGCATGGACAAATAATTATTGTGTTGGATGAGAAATTTAAAATATGATTATACAGTGCAAGTATGAATAATGGAGTGGTGGGGCATGGCAGCTGATTCGTGATAGAAAATAGAAACACAAAGAAACTTCTTAAAGCAACCTCTTTGTGTGTGTGCATGGAGGGGAAAAAAGGTCTTAAAAGAGTATATATCATGATGTTTTTTTTTGAGTATATAATGGAAAAAATTGTAACACCCCCTTAATGTTCACGGGAAATTATTATAGGATTCCTAATTTTTTTGCTAGATAACTTAACAACTAGGTGGGTGAGAAAAGTCATACGTTTTTGTTTAAATAAATCTATCTATATCTATTCTATATCTATCT